GTAGCTGGGACTCTAGGCACATGCCATCATGCCTGGCTAATTTTTCTATTTTTTTTAGCGACAGGGTCTTGCTGTATTGTCTAGGCTGGCTCATCCACCTCAGACCCTGTGGGACATAGCTGGTGTTATTGGTGTCCTTCATGCCTCGTTTCTGGCCGTGCACTCCAGCAACTGGGCACACAGGGTGCCCAGGCCCAAGTGCTCGCTGACCATGTTGCCTTGGGCCACTGGGTTCCCTTTCTGACAAGGAGAATCCCAGGCAGTTTCTCAGAGGGCTGTTGAGAGGGCACACAATAGCAGCTCCTTCTTCCTGCTCCAGGCATGACAAAGCTTGTCCTGGGTCTCAGCAGACACCTGCTGGTCACACCCTTGCTCTAGCACAAATGTCCCAAACCTGTATTGTCCTCCTAGAACCAGGCTCAGAGTGGGGCCCTGGCTCAAAATCACAGAGAGAATGGGCCCCTGCACCCAGCCTGGGCCCTGGCAGCCCCTTCCTCTCCACAGGAACAGTGAGGTGCCATCTGAGGGGTGGGGGAAGAGACAGATGGGAGCCAAGTGGTTAGGGAAGTCTTCCTGAGGGGGTGGTCCAAGCCAGATCTGGATAGGTGGTGGTTTCTCCTGGAGACACTGGGGCTAACATGTGTGGTCAAGTCCTAGGTTGCTGTTCCTATGGCCCTAGAAGTCCTGAATTCCCACCCTGGTTCCACTGGGGACCTGCTGTGTGGCCCTGGGCAGGGTGCTCACCCACTCTGAGCCCCAGTTTCTTGCCTCTGTGAAAAGGAACAATAGCATGAATGGAAGTGGCTGCGTCATAGTGTCGGGTGTCCCTGAGGCACAGCAGGTGTGTAGTCCCAGTTTACTGGGGTAGGAAAGGCGTGCGTGGCAGTAAGAGGTCAGTGCCAGGCAGTGTGGGGACAGCTGGCCCTGCTCTAGCTGTCTGTGCCCTTCCCTGTGCCCTGAGAGTGCTTCCTCAGGTTCACATCCCTGGCCTGGGCCCCCAGAACCTCAAGCCTGTGACTGTGGGTTTGATCTGGGAGTTCAAGGGTGGGCCATAGTCCCAGACAGATGCAACCTGGGGAATAGGCCCCCTGCCATCCATGCCTCCAGCTGTCAGCAGACCTCACCCCTCCCCTTCCCATCCTCCCTGCTCTGTGCCTTCTCTGCCAGCCCTACTTCCTGTTCCCAGCCCTGCCTCTCTGGGTTCTCTCCTCCCGGCAGTCAAACAGCACCTCCTGCAGCCCGGATCTTCTGTAGTTATCCCTTTTCTGGAGCGTCTGTCTCCCTCCGTCTGCCAGAAACAAGGAGCAGGGTTTCCAGCCTCCGCGCTGCCTGCACCCTGCTCAGGCAGACTCAGTGCTCAGGAAAGACTTTTTTTGCAAAATGAACGGATTAATGGATGAATGAAAGAATGGTCAGATGATGGATGGAGGGCCCAGGCTGCCCTGCTCTTGCCCAGCCAGGCCCTGGTCCCTGACATTCAGCCCTCCTTCTTCTGAGCCAGAGTGCTGAGCTGGTCCTGTGCAGGGGATGCCTTTGACATGACATCCACTTTCTCAGAATAACATGTTTGCATGCAGAGAGAACCCACATAGGACTACAAAGGAAACCAGGAATGTTGAAACACTTATCAAAATGTTATTTTAAAATGTGCAATACAGCAACTCACACAACAGTTGTCTTGTTGCCTTAAGTTTTAATACTGGGTGAAGCCTCTGGGTCAGGTGTTCTGGGAGGAGAGAGTAGGTCTGTGTCCTTGGGGGCTTAGGGAACCCCACAGAGAGGCTGGGGGAGGGCACATTGCTATTTTTCCTGTGGGGCCTTAGAGCCCAGGGTCCATCCCCTGGGCCTGTGGCAGGACCTCCTGGACTGTGCTCCTGCCCTGTAGCAGGAGCCAACTGCACCCCATACCCCCACCTGGCTGGAGTCCCCCCGTTGCCTGGGGAAAGCTGCTATGTCCTGTCTTATGGGCCTGAGGATGCCCCTCCCTGCTGGGCCACCTACTGTGCACAGTTAATAAGGGAGGGAGCTGGGAGGCCTCTGGCCCCAGCCATGGCCTTCTAAGAAAAGATGACTTGAGGCCTGGAAGAGGGGGTGACAGGGTGAGGTCCTGCCTGCCATCTGGTATTGCAGGCCGCAAGGGCAGTCTTGGGGCACTGGGACAGGATCCTGGCTCCCAATCCTCTCTTCAACTTCCTCTGAGAACCTGGCCCCAGGGTCCTGTGGTGCAATGAGACCCAGGGCCCACCCTCAGGAGCCCTGCCCTGGTGGGAGAGGCTCAGAGGGATAAGTAGCTGCTCTCAGTGTAAGAGCGTGGGGGCTGGAGATGGGTGCTGAAGGATGCATAGGAGTTTGAAGGAGAATGGGCAGAGAGGACCCTGGGTAAGGTGTCTGGGGTGTGGCCAGGCCTGGGTGGAGAAGGGTTTCCTCTGATAGCTGGGAGTGTGGGTTGTTATCACCCCTGCTGTGGAGAAAAGAGGCTGGACCACTAGCTGTGTGTGTCCTCACCCAAGTCCTCTGCCTTTCCGAGCGGTTGGCATCTCATTCCTCCATCCCTGCCTTCCTTGCCCTCCCCACTGTGTTCCTTAAACATACAGAGCAACATCCTAGTTTGAAGGCCATGGTTCTTCCAGTTCCCACGTCCAGGAATACGCTTGTCCCACATTCTCTCCAATTAGGCCTCCAGGCAAATGTCCCCTGCTCAGAGATATCTTCCCTGACCTCTAGAGTAGTCCCCACCTGTCTCTGGAATTACTTAAGTTCTCTGTTTCCCAACATATTTTTGCACCTGTCTCCCCCACTCCACTGTGGCCAGCACAGCATTCTCATGTGGTGGTGGTGGTGGTGGTGGGGCTGCTCAGAAGGGACTCACTGAGCAAGCCTAGTTTGCTAGTGTGATTCTAGGCAGCAGAATCAGGCAAGGCCTGGGGGCGCTCCAGCAAGCCCACCTTATCTTTCTGGACTCTGCATCCTCAAGCTCAGCCTTTTGTCTCTGCCAGGGACCCCAGAGGTCTCAAAGGTTGTCAGACACTCCTAGGGGATTTTGTGAAATAAGGTAAGATTTACAAAATGGAGAAGAAAAACAAATGAAGCTGAGGAAACAATTATCATAGGTTTCCTACAGTCAGAATATGGGGTTGAAGTCCTCATCCCGCTGTCCTTGCCTAAGCAGGTCTCATGTTGGCCCAGCCCATTACGAAGAAATGCAGCCCCGGCCCCACTGAGCTGGGAGCAAGGCAGGCCTGGGGGGTTCATCAATGGCGGGAGCTCAGAGGGAGCAGAGGCAGGGCAGTTGGGTCCTAGGCCCAGCTCTGTGTCTTCCAGACTGGTGACCTTGGACATAGCTCCTCTCTGTGCCTCATTTCTTCCTCTGTCAAAGAAGTTTGTGCCTCCTCGCCTGGAGTGTTCTCTGATGAAGTGAGTAGAAACCGATCATTCAGTTCTAGGGGCCCAAGAAGCATGCTGAGGGCAGGAGGAGATCCAGGGTAATCTTGGAGGGCTTCATGGAGGAGTCATCCCTCGAGCTTGGTGGATACATTGAGTTCTGAAAGTCAGAGGAAGGCATTCCATGGTGAGGGTCCAGACTCAGGCTCAGGCTCTGAGGTGTGGATATGTCCCGACACTTTGGGAGTTTAATCCTAGCCCTCTGCTCATTCCTATATGTCCTTTTTCTTTTTGACTTATAAAGAACTCTTTATATATTAGCCACATCAATCCTTTTGTAACAAATATGTATTATTTACCTATTCTTTTACTTCTGATGGATTTTAATAAACAGCAACATAGACATCTTCATGTTGGCACATTTGCTGGGCTTTTCTTTGGTGGCGTGTCTGGGCCTAGGCTGCTTCTTATCTTCTGCACATGCTGGCTGCTTAGGAAATCTCTGAGACTCAAATTAAGTTGAAGCTTGGAAAATTTATAGCTGTAAGAAAAATAGAAGCTGTGGTGCCTTTGCTAATCAGGTTCCTCCTCCTCACATCTGGACTGATTTCCAGAGTCCCCAGAGTGAGGCAGGAGTTCAGAGCTATGATGAGGGTCTTGATGGGGACAAGTCATGAAAACCCCATCACATCCCACGTAGTACTTATGAGATAAGTACTATGATTAGTCCCATTTTTTTTTTTTTGATTAGTCCCATTTTAAAGGTGAGAAAACTGGGACTCAGGGAGGTTATGTGGCTTGCCCAAGGCCACACAGGAAGGGGTGGAGACAGGATTTTAACCCAGGTTATATTGCTCCAGAACTCTTACACTTTCAATCTCTTTTATGGCCCTTGGGATCCCCACTGCCCTTGAGATTAAGTTTAGGCTGACTAGTATGGCAGCCGAGGCCTGGGACCTCAGTCTCTTCCCCTGCTGATACAGTGCTTTGGCCCCTGTGCCTGCACACTAGGCATGTGTTTACTTTGCCAGTGACTCAGGTGGTGGAGTGTGCACTGCCTTCCCCACAAACCCCAAGGTCCTTAGGATCCCAAAATGTCACAGCTGGAAGGGGCCCATGGACTGGATAGGCCAGCTCCTGGTTTGCAGGCCAGAGCAGGGACACTCAGAGACAGAGAGAGCCTTGCCCAAGGCCCAGTGTGTAGGAAGCAGAGCTGAAATCTGCAAAGGATATGCAGGCTGAGTGTCTTTCCCTACACCCTGGTGTGGCCCCAGGGGCTCTGGCTCCTTTCTTGTGCTGCAGGTGGCCTCAGGCAGGGCTCTGCTCACTCCTGCTTGCTTTCCCTGCCTGCTTGAAGGAGGCCCCCTCACCCCTCTGCTGGGTTGGACACCTCACCTTCTGCCCCTTGAGGCAGGTGCCCTCTGTGGCTGGAGACTGCAACTTCTGCAGATCCCTGGTGTCCAGTGTGGAACCTGGCACTGAGTGGTGCCTCAGGAAGAGTAGACTTCAAGGGAGAACCAGAGAAGGACAGAGACCTGGACAGGCCACACAGCACGTTGGAGCAAAACTAGAAACTCCATGAACCCCTCACACCCTCCAGGTCCCTCTTGCTCCTGGGACTCAGCTGAGCCTAGGAATAGGGTAATGTCTGCAGCAGCCATCCTGGCAGAGGGCACTGAGGGGCCCCTGTTCTCTGCTGCTCCCAGGGATTTAGGGCCAAGAACACCCTGTCTCCCCCCTGCCCCCACCCTCTGCAAAGGATGTTCTCAAGATAAAAATACCATCAGAAACATTTGGTGTGACTGCCGTTCACCCTAATGGGGCCAGAACCTCCTGACCTGGCCTCACCTTGGGGCTCACAGAGTGGACATGTGTCCTTTCTGGCTACTCAGGGCAGACAGTCCCTGGTGTTGATGCTTCTAGCCACCATTTTTGGCCCCCTGTGGGTGTGGCCTGTCCTAGTCATAGAAGAAGGAGGCAGCCAAGTCCCGTCCCTGGGGACCTCGAGCTTCTTGTGGTTGTTGCCATTCAGGCAGCTTCTGAGGACCTCTGCCAGACCATGTGGACGGTTCAGGCATGGCCAGCTTCTGTCCTGCAGGGAAGCTGGCTGCACGGTATCAGAGCCTGAAAGCCCCCCCCACAGAGGACACCAGGGGACCCTAGCTACTATGTGGGCTCTGTATGTCAACACCAGAGACAGGACCTCATGCTCAGATGGGGGTCTGAGGCCGAGGGAAGGGCCTTTAGTAGCTACAGGGTGGCTGGACCCCTCTAGGGAAGGATGTCAGCTATTACCTCCTGGAGCCCTGCTGGGGCCAGGTCCTGTGCCCTGTACATACTTCCTGTCACCATGTTTAGTTTCATGGCACAAACTCCAGGAGGCTGGGTAGGTGTCACCTACCTCATTTTTCAGAGGAAACTGTCTCAATACAGGGTGGCAACTTGCCCTGTCTCCTGGGCAATCTCAGCCCCAGCCTTGGCCAATAGGTTTAGCACTGGGGAAGTGTAGGGGTTTGCCCAGGCCCTCCCGCCCTTGCTGGAGGCTGTGGGTCAGCCCACACTGTGGTCAGGTCCATGTGTGAGTGGATGAGTGGATGGATGGGTGGGGGCCCCAGCTTCCTCCCTCTGTCATGGGGAAGAGTTGCCCCTGTACACTCTGCCATCCCCCCAGGACTGTGACTGCCACACAGGGAAGCAATTGGTGGACTTGGAAGGGGTAAAATCATGCTGTGGGCAGCTGTGACCATTGCAGATGGCAGGAGAAGCAGGGACAGGGTGCCCAGAAAGCTGGGTTCTCACCTGCAGGCTGCCATTCACTATCTCTGAGACCTTTGGGATGTCACTTCACTGCTCCAAATCTCAGTTTCCCCCTATGTAGAGCGAAGCTGATTTTGCCTCCATCACAGGTGACAGCAAATCTTGTGGGTCTGGGAAGGCCCCCTTCAGGAATGAGAGGAATAGGGAATGAGGATGGAGGTTAGAAGAGCCCTGGGCAGGAAGTGGGAGGGGCTGCTGGCCTCACCTCTCATCCCCCATTGCCCTGTGGAAACACCCTATCTTTTCTGTCCAGAGTTCCAGCCTGGGTGAGCAGGGCTGTGAGGGTGGGGACACTGAGGCCAGCTGCTGGGTGCACAGGGGGCAGGGCATGGGCTCAACTCCCTGCCATGAAGATGCCCCACTGTGTGACAGTTTGTGATGGGACTTGTGGTCAGTTTTGAGAGCCAAAGGGCAGAGCAAATGCAAGCGTGGGCCATGGCAGCTGCTGAGGGAGTGATGAGGGAGGGGAGGCAGGTGCTGAGTACTGGGAGTGGAGAGTAAAGAGGGCCTGAGGGTCCACTGAAGATCAGGCAGGATCCCCTTACAATGTAAGGGGATCAGAGAGGGGAAGTGACTCACCCCAGGCCACACAGCTTGTCAGGGACAGAGCTGGGAACTGAACTCAGATCTGTGTGCCTCTAAACCACTGTCACCTGCCACAGAAGGCTTATGATGTAGGGATGACTCACCAAGTTTCCTTAATCCCAGCCAGAACAGCCACTGTGAAAAACTTGCCTTGGCTGTAAACTTGCAAAGGGTGGCGCCCTATGGACTCAGAGGCTGGAAGGTAGAAAGGTGAGAAGCATCTTGAGGTAGCTTGCCTCTGCCTCCAGAGTGTCTCAGGCCTTTCCCACCATCCTCTCTTCTGACTCTCACAGCACACTGGAGAAGATGGTAGGGGGCCTTTTTCACAGATGGGAGAATTGAATCTTGGGGATTACAGGATTATTATAGGTTCATGTATGAGCAAGGCAAGTCTCTGGCAAATTATTGGTTGGCACTCATCCATGTGCACATCCACTCATCTATCTAGTCATCTGTTCCACTTACCCAAACACTCCATCCATCCATCTACCCACTTATCATCCACCCAACCACCCCTCTATCCCTCTATCCATTTATCTGCTCATCCCTCCTACCATTCTTCATCTACTCATCTACCCACATACCCATTTACATTCCTCCCTACATCCATTCATTCATCCATTCATCCATCTATCCTCCTGTCCACTCATCCACCCACTCATCTATCTATATACCCATTCATCCATCCATCCATTCGTCCATCCACCATCCTTCCATCCACTCATGCATCCATCTGTCCACCCACTCATCCATCCATCTACTCATACGACTGTCCATCCTTCCATCTGTTCATCCACCTACCCACTCATCTGCCTGCCCACCCACCTTCCCATCCATCTGACTGTCCATCCATCCATCCACTCATGCATTCACATTCATCCTTCCATCTATCTATCCATCCATCCATCTACTCATGTATCCATCCATCCACTCATCTGTCCATCCACCCATCCACTCATCTGTCCATCCACCCATCCACTCATATGCCCACCCACTGTCCATCCCCCCAGCTGTCTACAGCTAGCTCTAGGGTTGGCATTGGGAAGGCTCTGCAGGTGGTAGCTAAGGTTAGGGCTTCAAGTTCCTATTTGTGATCATAGGAGAATTATATTATCTACTTCTCTGGAATGGGAATAGCAACAGTTCTAACCTTGTGGGGTTGTAAGGATTACATGAGATGATGTATATAAAACACCTATGATAGCGTTTGGATGCAGTAAGCATTCAATAGTTTTCAGGTGTTATTTTCTTTGAAGACCTATCTTGTTCTGCCCTTCTCTGGATCTGGATGTTTGCTCTGGGCATGGCTTGGGTCCCACAAGGGTGTGGGGCATCAGAGGTGCAGGGTGAGATCCCTCTACCTCCTGTGGGGCCCCGGGAGAAGTAAGCAGAAATGAGGGTTCATGTGGAAATGTCTTACTTCTGAAGAGCAGCACCATCTACAGTAACATGGCTTTGCTCTGTTAACTTTAGGATATTCTAATGTCTGGATCCTCCCCAGCTGGTGCCTGGGAAATGGCAGTCACTGCTAATTCAGCCTTGAAGACAGTCAGTAGACCGCTAAGCACCATTACTTAGAAGGTAAAATTCAAGAGGTAAGATTGAAGTCACTGATGTGCACCTGTGCATCTAGTCATCCTTCTACCAAACATCTACAGCCACCCATCCTCCCGTCCATCCCATCCATCCATTACCTGTGCATCTAGCCATCCTTCCACCAAACATCTACACAAACACCCTGTCCATCCCATCCATCCATTATGTGTGCATCTAGCCATCTTTTCCACCAAACATCTACACAGCCACACATCCTCCTGTCCAGTACTTCCATCCATTACCCATTCTCCCACCAATTCATCTGCTCAGCCATGCACCACCCACACCTCACCCACCTAACCCATCCATATATCTGGTCACCCCCATCCATCCACTCACCCACTCATCTCTTAGCCCAATTTATCTGTCCATCTGCCTGACCACCCACTTGTGCATTTATCTGTGTCCTCATTCATCCCTCTATTCAGGTGCTTAGTCTTTCATCCTTTTGTTTGGTCAGGGAGCATTTCCTGAGTGTCCCTTCTTTGCCAGGGCCTGCACCAGCCTTTCTGGGCCTCTGAGGTTGGTCAGAGATGGGGTCTGGATAAGATCAACTCTTGTACTTAGAAAGTAGCTTCTGGCCCTATCAGGAAAAGCCCAGGCCTAGAGAATTCTAAAGGACTTCGAGGAGTAGGAGGAGGAGGGGGAAGAGGGAGCTGCTGGTGGTGTGGGGCATCCAGGAAGGAAGCTTGGGTTCAGGGCCTTGGCCCCATGAGGAGGTCCTAGGGGACAAAGGTTCTAGTGCAAGTTGCTTAGTGGGAGGTGATCCCAGGAAGTACGGAAGTGAGAAAGGGAGGAGGGAACCAATAAAGGGCGCACTGCTGATATGTCTACTGCTGGAGCCAGCTGGACTGCGGCCCCTGGGACGAGGAGATGGCACAGAACCTGGCCTTGGAGTTGTCCCATCTGAGGGGCAGTTTGCTGGGCCCTTATCCACCTGCTCCTGTCTGTCACTGACAGAAGGCTGATCAACTGCCCTCTGCATGGCAGAGCATCCTCCAGTGGCCAGAGAGAACTTCTGGGTAGAAGACACTGGTGTTGGCTGTTGGAATTGGGGCTGGTAGTGAGGGCTAGATATGAGCAGACACTGGCCACCTGTCCTCTACACATACTAGCATGTCACTGCTGTTGCTCTCCTGCAGCGTAGCCTGGGCTTGGCACTGCATTGATCCCAAATGTTTGCAGGCCATGGTGATGCCAGAGGCTGTCTGAGCCTCTGACAGGTGGAGTTTGGCCTGGAAGGGTGGCTCTGGCTCCCTCCTCTACTGGCAGTGCCCCTCCTTGCTGTCTGCACATGCCCATCCTGGCCTCAGTGTGGTCCCACACTTTGGGCAGAGCGTGGCACAAAGGACCCTGCGCCCTGCAGCCTCGACTGCCTCTTAGCCATCCCAGAGTCTTGCTTTCCTCATCTACAAAGTGAGGATTGGGCTTCTCGGGCTCTGAAGTTAAGTCTGATGGATGGTGACAGGATTAGGAAAGACTCTGAGGGTGTCCTGGGTGCAGTGGAAGCAAGTTCTGTGATTGACGAGTGATGTCTGCTTGGGCACAAGGTGGAGGAGGAGGCGAGGTAGGCTTGCAGCTTGCACTCTCTCAGGGGCCTCAGTGGTGTGGCTTGATGGTGAGGCAGTGAGTGCCGCCTCCTGGGATGTTCCAAACAAGGGTGAACAGCCATGGTTGGGATGCTGGTGAGGCCCTACACCTGTGCTCCCCAAGTGCTGGTGGGCAGGCTGTATGTCTTGCCATCAGGTAGAGGTGCCGGGGCTGGAGGCCTGAGTGGAGCACAGGGTGGAGGGTACTTATTTTGCCCTCACACCCCAGACTAGAAGCTCCACTTCTTAAATGGTGTGTGACCCTCTGCAAATGACTCAGTCTTTCTGAGCTTCAGTTTAGTCATCTGGAAAGTGGGGATAATAGTCACAGTGTCATGCAGGGATTAAGTGAATTAATTCAGAGCTCTCAAAGCAGCCGAATATATATCAACTATTGTGCTTGTGCTTTGGAGGTGTCCCACCTGCTGAAAGGCCCTGGCCTGGGGGTGGGGGCTGCTGGCACTCCTCCTCCCCCCCCAGTCCCAGGTCTTCTCCCTCCATTGTCCCTTCTGGTTAGCATGCCTTGGCATCTGGGAATGCGGGCCCAGGCCTTACCCGGGTCTCCTCCCGGATGTCCTGAAACATGAGGAGCCCAGAGCCTCAGGGGAATGGGCATGGGGCATCCTACTCCATCCGGAGGCCCCTCCTAGTGACTCCTGGGCCCCACCCCTGGGTCACGTGGCAGCCACTGGCTGGCATCCTCCCTAAAAGCTCCTAGCCCAGGCCCTGGCCAGTGCTTCAAGCAGACTGATTGCTGGGGAGGCTGTGTCTCCAGGTGCTGTGGCCAGCAGGGAGCTACTGGGCTCCCAAAGGCAGAGGCCTGGCTGTGCCTTCTCCCAGGCTCTGAGGGGTCTGTGTGCTTTGATGCCCATCATCCAGTGCTGAAACTGCCCGTCTGGCTCAGGTAATATACCCAGTGCCTCCCTCTCATGCCCCTCCAGAGCCCCTGGGACCCCAGTTGACCAAGCTGGGCATCTGCAGAGGCTGATTTTAACTATAATCTTGGGCCATAAGTTGTTGTATGCCCTGGGATGAATCTCTTTCTCTTCCTGTCTGGGTGCTCCCATCCATAAGACCGGGATCTGCCCTTGCTCACTGAGGCCTCCTTCAGCCTAACACAGTCTCTGCACCGTATGCACCCCATTTGAGGAAGAGCCAGCCTGGTGCATGTCCCTGGTGGAGGGTACTGGCCCATATTTCTTACAGTGAATTTTTAAAGATCACAGTTGTGTAACTTTGCCACACCTGTTTGTGGAAGAGTGTCCTTGGATATTTAGCAAGTTTGTGGTGCTTGTGGTGAACTCCTATGTCCTCTTCTAGGTGTGTCTTTGTGGTGCTATACACCAAGGGCCAGTGTGGGGCCCACACACCCCTGCTGGTTGGGCTCTTTCTCTCACAGCAGGACAGGGTGGAGGTAGGCTGAGGACCCTGGTATCCAACTCTGCTTTGGCTATTCAGCTTTTGGGGTACTTTGATCTGAGTTAGCTTCTGGCTCTGAGAAATGGGGGAGTGGGGTGCAAACCTGACCTTGTTGATTTTCTCTGTGTGGTTTTAGGAGGAATGTCAACAGAAGCAAGGATTCCCAGACCTGTGTGACACCATCTGGGTGGGTCCCAGGTGCCCAGCCCTGGTAGAGACGCCAAGAGCTGCTATAGCACCCTCCCCTGCCTGGTGCCTGCTAGGTGTGAGGCCACCAGCATGGGGAACAGGGTGCGGGCTGGGCTCTCTGGCCTTTGATTCTTGAGATTCTGTTCTCTGTAGACCTCAAGCTGCTCAGAGCACCAGCTGAAGCAGCCATGGCCCACTGGATATCCCTCAAGGCCCTGGGGCCACACAAACCCTTCCCCTGGGATCTGGTGGCCACGCGCCAGCATCTGAGTGCGCCAGCCCTGATTACTTCCCACTGGAAGGCCCAGGAATCTGGGGCTAAGCCATCTTCCTAGCATATCCCTGGGGGTCCCTGGCCCAGGCAGAAGCAGCATTGGCTGTTATGGCCTTGGGCCTCAGCACCTCAGACCCATGGTGAGGTGGTCACCTGGAGTAGCCATGGGGGGGCAGATGGCAGAGTGAGGAAAGGCGTCCCTCGAGGAGCCTAGGGGCCCATGGAGGGAGACCATGAGTTAAACAGAAGCAGTTTAGATCTCAGCTTTCCTGCTTAATAGCTGTGCGGCTTGAGGAGTCACTTCCTCCATTCTCAGAGTAAGGTAATGAGGCAGCTGCTTTGCACTGCTGAGAGGTGGCCTGAGAGCACTGCTGATGTGTCTGGCCCTGAGGGGTGCCAAGACCTTGCCTGCTCTCCATGTGGCTCCCTCAGGCAGTAGCTGCTGTGAGTGCCTCGCCCTCCAGGCGCCAGAGCTCTAGCAGCACCTGGGGATGCTCAGCCTGCTGGCTGGTCAGGCCCCACTCCCACCTGTCTCCCAGGTGTTTGGAGCAGAGATCAGAGACTGTGGCTTTTCTAGGTCTTGGCTAGCATGGACTTGGTCGGAATCTGGTCACACAGTCATGTGCTGAATCCTGGCATTGCCACCTCCTGCTTGTGGGACTCAGATGAGTCGCTTCCCATTTGTGAGCCTCCAGTCCCTTGTCTGTAAAATGGGGCAGCACATTTACCCTCCCTGGAGGGCCCCTGCGGTCTGCCGACGGCTCTGCACAGCAGCTGGCCCACAGTGGAGGCTTGGCCAGCCTGGGACCTTCCTTCTCCTGGGGGCCTCCAGGTCTTACAGGTAAAGTGGCTGCAGGTGCTCAAGGGCCCAAGGCCCAGTTTAACTCTGACCTCGCAGTGCAACTGGTGGGAGATGTAGGTGTGAGGGGTCCTTGTGGGTGGGGAGAAGCTCTTCCTTGGCATCCCGCCCATGCTGGCAAGTCCCAGGTCTGCTTTCTTCCAGCATAGCCCAGCCAAGGCAGGCGGGAGTCCAGACAGAATTGGTGGCCACAGGGCCAGGCGGTGCTGTGGCCCCATCTCACAGACGCCCCACCTTGGCACTGACAGGCGATGTGGAGCCCGTGGAGTTGGGGAAGGGGCAGCCGTGGCCTGTGTCAGCAGCTTTGTGCTGGCTGCCCTGGGGGCCCAGCAGTGTACGAGGGTGTGTGGCAGGCTGGTCTCAGCCAGGTGCTCTCCACAGCCAGCCGGTGACAGTGGTGGGGATAGGTGACACTTCTGAGTGCTCCCCACATGCCCGGGTAGTGGCTCTGCCATCTTTATTTAGAGATGAGGAAAGCAGGGACCAGAGACCCTGGGTTGAGGTCACCCATTAGGTTGCTCTGTTGGGCACTGGCTCTAGGCCCTGCCCTCCACACCACCAGGGATGGGGCCCTCAGGAGTGGTGTGCAGGTGCCCAGTGGGCATTTGGGAGTCAAAGGGCTGCAAGTTCCCCACTAGGCCCTTGGGTAGGATGGCAGGGAGCAAAATAGAAAACTCCCCACCCTTTTACAGAATGGCATTCTCAGGTTGGAGACAGTGTTGCCTGGGGTACATTATCAGTGTTGCTGTCACTGTTCTGTCAGAGGGGTTGGTTCTGTGGATTCATGGTGGGGACAGGCATGCAGTCTTCCTGGGGCATAGAGAGGCCTCCAGAGACAGCCGTGTGGAGCAGTGTGGAGGCCAAGGCCCAAAGGTAGAGAGGCGGCAGGAGGATGTCTTGGAGGAGGGCATCCAGAGCAGGTTTGAGGGACGGTCCAGGGACTGAGGTGTGTGGCAGTGTGAGGGGAGGAGGCTTGGAGGGAAGGTCTGAGGAGGCTCATGGCTTCCCAAGCAGTCCTAGATGTCCCACTGGGAGGACTCTGGCTGTGAGGAGACAGGCAGGAACAGCCTCTGACTCAGCTTCCATAGCTTTCTGTGACTGCTGTGGCAACAGAGGGGCTGGTATAGATGCAGGAAGGCTGGTGAGGGTCCCCCTCCCTGCGCTGGTCTAGACAGGCAGTGACAAGGACTCAGGCTGTGAGGTGGGGAGAAGGGGTCAGATTCTAAATATATTCTGAAAGCAGAGCCCTGGGTGGAAGAGGCACTGAGATGACTCTGAGGATTCTGGCTGGAGCTGCTGAGAGGGTGGAGGGGCCATTCTCCCCACTGAGCCGGCAGAGTGGGCTTGAGACAAGTGGTAAGGCCAGAGCTTGCCCATGGGTCCGTCGGGGCGGGAAGTCTCCCTGGTCAGGTTTGGGCCCCAGGTGAAGAGTGAAGGAGTGGTGAGGCTGAGCCAGACCTGCTGTCCTCTCTGTTGCAGGAGCCACCCCACCTGGACCTGGCCTGGGGGCAGGCTGGGGCCCCCCTGCCCCCGGGATGACTGCAGCCAGCCGGGCGAACCCCTACAGCATCGTGTCGTCAGAGGAGGACGGGCTGCGCCTGGTCACCATGGCAGGTGCTAATGGCTTCGGCAACGGCAGGGTGCACACAAGGCGCAGGTGCCGCAACCGTTTCGTCAAGAAAAACGGCCAGTGCAACATCGAGTTTGCCAATATGGACGAGAAGTCGCAGCGCTACCTGGCTGACATGTTCACCACCTGCGTTGACATCCGCTGGCGCTACATGCTGCTCATCTTCTCACTGGCCTTCCTTGCTTCCTGGCTGCTGTTTGGAGTCATCTTCTGGGTCATCGCAGTGGCGCATGGTGACCTGGAGCCGGCTGAGGGCCGGGGCCGCACGCCCTGCGTGATGCAGGTGCATGGCTTCATGGCGGCCTTCCTCTTCTCCATCGAGACGCAGACCACCATCGGCTACGGGCTGCGCTGTGTGACGGAGGAGTGCCCAGTGGCTGTCTTCATGGTGGTGGCGCAGTCCATCGTGGGCTGCATCATCGACTCCTTCATGATTGGCGCCATCATGGCCAAGATGGCAAGGCCCAAGAAGCGGGCGCAGACGCTGCTGTTCAGCCACAATGCCGTGGTGGCCCTGCGAGATGGCAAGCTCTGCCTCATGTGGCGTGTGGGCAACCTGCGCAAGAGCCACATAGTGGAGGCCCATGTGCGTGCGCAACTCATCAAGCCCAGAGTCACGGAGGAGGGTGAGTACATCCCTCTGGACCAAATTGACATTGACGTGGGCTTCGACAAGGGCCTGGACCGCATCTTCCTGGTGTCACCCATCACCATTCTGCATGAGATCGACGAGGCCAGCCCGCTATTCGGCATCAGCCGACAAGACCTGGAGACAGATGACTTTGAGATCGTGGTCATCCTGGAGGGCATGGTGGAGGCCACGGCCATGACCACCCAGGCCCGCAGCTCTTACCTGGCCAATGAGATTCTGTGGGGTCACCGCTTCGAGCCTGTGCTGTTCGAGGAGAAGAACCAGTATAAGATTGACTACTCGCACTTCCATAAGACCTATGAGGTGCCCTCCACACCCCGCTGCAGTGCCAAGGACCTGGTTGAGAACAAGTTCCTGCTGCCCACCACCAACTCCTTCTGCTATGAGAATGAGTTGGCCTTCCTGAGCCGTGACGAGGAGGACGAGGCTGAGGGAGATCAGGACAGCCGCAGCCGAGATGGGCTCAGTCCCCAGGCAAGGCATGACTTTGACAGACTCCAGGCTGGTGGTGGCGCCCTGGAGCAGCGGTCCTACAGGCGGGAATCTGAAATCTGAGCTACTGGTGGTTTAGGCGCAGCACCCCCCTGCCTGGGAGAGGAGAGGCAGCAGTGCCCCTCAGGGGCCCAGTTTGAGCAGAACCGGGAGCCAGGTGCCCCAGGTTGTGGACTCGGTAGCATTTTAGTCATTTTATGTTTCTTCGCAATGGCCTCAGAAGGTTGGTGGGAGAGTGGGTGGCCAGAGCAGGTGGCTACTGGTCTCGGAGGCCGCCGTAGGCTCAGGGCAGGGAGATGGCTTCTTGGGGGCCAGGTCACAGGAGCCAAGGGCTCCTGCTTGAAGATAGAGCTGCAGCCTGCCTGGAAGTGGCCCCACAGGGCTATGCCCTGCTGTGAGCGCTGGCAGGCTGCAGCCTCCTTTGCAGGTTTTTAACTTGGGGAGAAACACCGGGTTTCATCTTTCTCAACCTTAGCTTGGGTAAGACTGTTTACAAAAAAAAAAATTAACATGCAAATGAAGAAAAGTTTTTTTTTAATTCTTGGGGGGGACATAAAGGGCAATTAGAATTCCATGACTCTGCCAGGATGCAGCAGCTGGCTGGAGGCTCCTGTAGGTTCCCAAGGTGGAGCTGGCTCCCCCTCCTGGCAAGCTCGGTGCTCGAGGACCTGCACTTCACGCTTATGGGGCCAACTAGGTTCTGTTGTGAGAAAATCCAAGACCATGTTAATGATCACAATAAAAGCTTTCTACTGTCCCTGGGGTGGAGGGTGGGGCTGGGACGAAACTGGTTTGAGCTTTTTGAGTTTGACTTTGTACCTTAGAGGTGCGTCTCAGGGCCAGATACGGAGGGTTCACCCCCCACCCTGATTCTCATGTTTTGCTTCTCTCTTCATTTCTGCCCGGGGGCCTTCATCCCTTCCACAGTGGGGGACAGTTGGGAACCACAGGTGTAGATGGCTCCTTGGGAAGGGAAGTCAGGATCCCAAACTCAGAGGAAGCAGATCAGCCCCTGTCCCCTCTGGGCCCACAGTGTGAGCCGTGCCTTAGAGACTCCGGATTGTCTTGCTCTAGTTGTTCCTGTCCTTTTTTGGTTCTCTCGTCTCCCCACCTCCACTGCAGAAGCCCCTGCCAGCCCCTCCATCTGCCTTGGGAAGGTGGCAGTACAGGGAGCCCAGGCAGCGTATAGCCAGGCCTGGTCTGCTGTTGAGTGGCAGAGGAAGCTCTCAGGGAAGGAGAGAGGAATTGTCACACATACACCCTGTCTTTAAAGCACCCCCCCCCCCATTCAAAGCTGAATTGAGAAACTGGCCATGGAACAAATACTTCATTTTTTACTGAAGAGTTTCCTGCACCCCCAGCCCCACATGTCCAGGCACTGTGGCCCCTTTGTCAGGAAGAGGTTTGTGTCACTGACTCTTGTTCTTGGCAGCTGATGGGGGCCAGGCCTCTGCTGAGGAAGCCTGTTTCCTTGAATAAGGCCCCTCAAGAAGGCAGTAATTAGAAGGAGCTTGCCTCCTGCTTTAACCTGTGCCTGCCAAGACAGCTTAGAACCAGGAGGCACCAAGGACTCTGTGGCCCAAATGGGGAAACAGGCAGAGAACACAAAAGGGGATGTACTAAGTCGCAAAGTGAGTGGGTTGGGTAGGGAGGGAGGGGCCGCTGCCCGGGATGAGGTTGCTGCCCTCACTGAGGATGAGGCCATGAAGGGTCTAGACATGGGCTGCCAATAAGACACAGGGGCCCAGAGACACCCCAACCCCAGATCACAGCCACAGCCTCTGACCCCACCTTCATCTCTGACTGGACGATGCAGCCCAGTGGTTTTTTTCCTCTCAGGATCTGTGGGAGGGGCCTTAGCTCGCCCCTACCCCTGGGCCTGGGCCTGGCCCTCCCCTGCTAACCCTGCCTTAGCCCTGGGCACCGAGTAGATTTGGTATGCTAGTTCTTACCCTTTTCCAGACAGCCAGACAAGGGGATGGGTGGCTCCGGCAACTGGCCTGAGATCTCACTCTGCCCCTCTAGTCCAGGGTGGACTAGGTTTTTCTTCCTTCCATCCAGAGCAGAGCTGGGGCCCAAGTCCCCCAGGCCTGCCCCCTGGCCGTCTCAGGCCCTGCCAGGAAAGCATCCCCTAGCTGCTTTCCGTCTCACTAAGGCAGGCAGATGCTTCAAGTCCAGACTCTCCTGCCCTCTTTCTTCCTTTCTTTGTATTTATTTATTTATTTATTTATTGCTTGTGCTAAAGACCAAAATAGTCTCCCTCTTTAGTGTACTTGAGGTGAGAGGGCAGATGTGAATAGCCAGGAGTAGGAAGACTTGGCCCCTGGGGAGTGGTGTGGACTGTGCCAGAGCATACCTGTGGCGCTTATGAGCAGTGCAAATATGCACACACAGCTCTCCTATGGTGCGACTGGACTCTGATGCAGATACGGGATGTGTCCATGTGCATATGAGGTAGTTATGTGTCCATCTGCCCACATGCATGTCTGTGTACATGTTTTCTACATGTGGGGCTGGTTGAATGCTCACCAGTCTGGAAGGCTGTTATGGTGGCCCCAGTCATTGGCACAGTTGAACCTGGAAGCCCCCCACTTCCACCCCTTTCCCAATTCTGCAGGTTAGTGGGTGAATGGAGCTTGTGTTCTGGCTGAGGCATCTGGAGGTGAGCACGTGTGCCCGGGTCATGTGTAGGAGGCCATGTGTGTCTGTGTGAACACGTGTGTGCAGCCCTGGTGTGCTGCTCAGAGCGTGGTGGCTGTCCCTCAGCTTTGCTGGTGCTGTGCCGCTGGGTCCCCCCTGAGGGAGGGTCCTGGGGGTGAAGGGAGCCACCGGCAGGAGGCCTCTGCACAGGATGTCTGCCCTGTGTAAGTCACAGAATGTCAAATCTATTTTAAATGGTGAAACCGGAGAATTTTCATGTTATTTTCAATTCATAGCAGTATCTAAAGACTTAGGCAATGAGACTAGACCACATTAAATGCATTTTGATCTCTTTGAGGTCCACGGTGTCAAGATGTGTATCTGAAAGTCCGCCGCTGCACTGCATGCTGGGAGCTTGCCGGGCTCATTCACCCTGCACTGGGCACTGGGGCTCCCAGGGCATCGTGTGTGGCAGGCAAAGCCCAGGGCGGGGATCGGGGTACAGCCGAAGCAGGTCATGGCTGCAGCTGCGAGGGAGCAGAGAAGTTTCCTTCTCCAAAGGTCTCCCTGCAGCACACAGGTGCACGTTCCTTCGGGTCCCAGCCTGGCACCCGATGCCTTGTCTTCTTTCTGCTAGGAAGCCCTTCTGGGGGAGAAGCCCTGCTCCAGCCTGTGGTGGGGGTGAGGAGGAATTTCAGAGTGTGTCAGTGTGGTCTCTGCTAAGATGAGCCTCAGTAGAGGCTGTGACTCCTACACCTGTACAGTGACTAGACTCTGGACAGGGGTTCAGACTCTGGGATCCCCGTGGTCTTCCAGCAGAGATCCTCAGAGAATTCTTCCCTTTGCCTAAATGGTTTTTATGACACAGAGTTCATGAAAGAGCAGAGTTCATAAAGGACTGAGTCATCCCTCATTCTGCTGGATTTAGGTGATGATTCCAGATGATCCCAATGAGAAAACTCTGACACATTCCTGGGGGTGGCGCACCCTACTCTGCAATATGTGGGGGCCGAGAAGGCGCTGGACCAGGAGGGAGGACCCTATGCCTGCTGGGGATCTGGTGGGGGCCTCCCTGATCCTGAAACCTTCCTGGGACTTCAATAGTAGAACGTAAGCCAGTTGGGGCCAGAGTGCTGTGGCAGATTGACTGAGGGGTCCTGACCCCAGAGCATGAGACTGCCCCCAGTTGGTGCCCCCCCAAAACTTTTACAGAGTCCCTAGGTCCCTGGGGCTAGCTGTGCTAATACCCCAAAGGGCCCTGGGCAGACCCCAGTCCGCTGGCTTGCTGGGGGACCTTGAGTGCATTCCTACCACCCTTCAGCCATAGTCTCCCATCCCTAGAAAGAGGGTGTTTCTGAGTTCTCCTAGCTCATAGGAGAGGAAGGATGTTCACTCAGCCAGCACTCTGTGGCACCCTGCTTTACACTAAAGTGGTGTGTGCTGCTCCTCCTCACTGTTCCCCAGGCACAGCTGGTGCACTCAGAGGAAATGTGACCCACTTGAGGTTGCAGTGGGGGATGTCTGGCCCAGACCTCCACCAGGCCTGGGCACTGAGCTAGGGGGAGGGGGGATTGTTTAGTGAGTACCTGTTCACTCAAAGTTTGAGGCCTGTGAGACATCCCCCTTTACCCTGGGCCCATCCCTGCCAGGAAGGCCCTGGAGACATTGCTCACCTGTTTTAGAGGAAACTGGTTGAGGGATGTTATCCCAACTGGGATCTGGATTCTTACCTTCCTCCATGTCTGGTCAACTGACCTAGACGCCTATGGACACTGCTGGGCACTGGGCCCCTTGAGGCGTCTCAGCCTGCCAGTGGCAAAGGCTAGGATTAGAGTCTCAGCCAGTGTGGGACAGTCCAGCCAGGGATCCTGCCCTGGACTTATTCCAGTTTGTCCTTCTGCAAATCAGCCTGTAAAGGTGCCCCTCATGACTTGGAAGGATGCATAAGTGGAGATTAGAGCTGCCCATGTGCTCCTCGGCAGCAGTAGGGTTCCCCAAAGATGTATCCCATCCCACTTCAGCCTGCTCTTCACCCAGCACCAGACTGGTCTTCTTACAACCAGAATCAGGACGTGAAATCCCCTTGCCTAAAACCCTCCCTGGCTTTCTACCACACTAAAAATAAAATCTTGCGGCTTTCCCCATGGTGGAAGTCTTTCCTCCTGCTGCTGTGCTGCAGGCATGTTCCTCCTTCAGTTCCTTGAGCACCCCCACCCTATCCCTACCCCAGGACCTTTGCACATGCTGTTTCCTCTGACCCACACTCTACCTTCTACCCAGGTCTTAGCCAATCTGGCCCCTCATCCCTCTGGGTCTAGGCCTTGCCTGACCCTCCCTCTCAGGCCATCTGCAGCTAGCTATTGTTCCCTGTGCTTATTTGCTGTCCCCACTAGGCTGTGAGCTCCACAAAGGCAGGGGTTGTCATTGCTCATTTTCTGCTGGGGGCCTGGTGCTGACCACAGGCACAGCTGTGCTTCATGTGCATTTGGATGGGTGGCTGCCAAGTCTGCGGGTGTCCTCCCACACAGAGGGCTCTCCAGGCCTCAACAACTTGCAGCTCCTTCCCACTGACCCAGCCTGGACAAAGCCTGGTCACCAACCATGCGGAGGGCAGAGAAGCCCAGCCTGGGGGCACCCAAAACTGGGAACCAGGATCAGAGTGGGGAGGGCTTTATGCTGGAGGGTATCTGAACTCAAGGAAGGTTCTGGGCCCACTTTCCTCCTTGGTGCCAAGAAAACACAGCAAGGGCCCTCCTCACCCAAAGCTAACTGGGACCAGAAGGCCTAAAATCTGGGTTATGCCCTTCAAGTGTTTATGACTGGTCAACTCTGGGCCTCAGTTTCCCTACATAAAATGAGAACTCCATGAATTCCCTCAAGTGTAAACCCTACTGTGCACTGCATGCTGCTGGTCCTGTCAGTGGTGGGGTGGGAGGTTAGCCAGAACTGGCCCTTGAGGCGTTCAATCCATGGGGCCGAGCGACAGATGTTGAACAAGGGTCTTGATCCAGGCCTCTGGAAATGGGGATTCTGGTGCACTGGACTGGCAGAGGGAAGCAGGAAGGGGCTGAAGGAGGAATAGGGGTCCAGCTGAAGCCCAGGTCAGGCTGACTCTCCACTGGGTGTGGAGAGCGGTTGTCTCTGCTGAGACTCAAGGTGGCCATCACAGTTCCGTCACTTAGTCCTTGCAGGTGGCAACTCTGGGCAAGATGTGCCTATCCACTGGAAGCTTCTCCACAGAAGGCCACTGGGGGAATGTGCTCCTCCCAAGAAGGAAGTGCGGTGGCCATGAGCTACACCCACTGCAACTTTGACACTGATTGTAATCTACCTGGTTCAGGGAAGCTGGCAGCTGGGGCACCAGGGAAGCAACATTTCCTCTCTGCTCTGAGGGATGAGTGGGGGGTTGCCAGGTGCCTGGAGAAGAC